AGTAGCAAATTGAACAACATGAGGTTTATCCTGTTTTATAGAAATTTTCTCTTAAAAAATAATAGCAATCATGTCATCAACAAACCACTCATGATTCTAAGTGTTATAAGATGTCTTTGACAATGTCAAATTGAGAAGGAAATGACTCCAAAAATTTTCAAATTAGTTGGCTATCATTAATATTAAGGTTTGTAGACTTTAACTTATTATAATAATACACCATTTTCAACATATGTTCATGAACACCACTAACACCATCATATTTGGTGTTATCAAACAGCGAAAAATAGTGACTTTTCTAAACCTTGTCAAAAGTCTTGAACTTGTCACCAATAGAATTCAAAAAAGTTTTAGTATTGGTGCTTTCCAAGATGCTTTACCTAATGGTCTTTTCCATGGTGTATTTTAGACATACTCTATTTGAGTGTTCTCATTTTTGTTGATTAGTCTTCTGATCATTAGGAGACTAGTGGTAATAGTCGGTGACTCCTCTTCCCTCAAGGCCAAGTCCATATTGACAATAGCAAAATACAAATTAAGAGATTTCTTTTTATCTTCATAATTAGTCTCATCTATCATTTTTCACACTGGAGGACATTACAATGAGCATCAAAGACAAAGGAACCATTTAATATCTACAAGTCATTGCGTAATTAGAGAATTTAGTGATCCTGCATGCACAAATAAATATGTCTATCATACAAATTTTTTACTTATTACAATTTTGTCTATAAGTTCCAAATTACAATAAATAAGAAATGTAATTACAATAATGATAACAACAATAATATTATTAATAATGCAATGTGTATAACCATGTCATTAAAAATCTAATAGAGATAAACTATTCAAATATAATTGACATAAGTTAATAATAACAATACATTGTATTTAACATATCACATTAATAAAATAATGATAGGATATTAATTATTATTGATGTAATATAAAAGAAAATTAAGTAATACATCAATTCATACAAATTTTGCATAATTGTGATTATAATAGGCAAGTTTATCGATGCACAACCATTAAAGTCATGTTATACAAAATGCAATATAAGCAAAATAATTTAAACAGAGAAAGGATGTGATTATATCAATAACAAGGTTTATATATATATATATATATAGATAATATCTTCTCATACTAGTGTAAATCTAAAAACTCTTACACTCGATTTAAGTCTTTTATTTAATTTACATCTAACGATCAGTGAAGTAATAAATAATAACTCATTAGATGTAAGTTAAATGAAAAACTCAGATCGAATATAAGAATTTTTAGACTTACACTATTGTGTGTGTATATATATAACAAAAAAAACTCAGGCTCAAATTTCAAGTATACAGTAGCTAAACAAACAATTTAGTCTCAAATAAAAGAGTTTGAAGGTCTAATTACACACACAATAATATACAAGAACAAAATAACTAATTAAAAAAAACAGATTGAATGACGTGCAAGTTAAACTTTGGAATTCTCCTAATTGGACAAACTACATGGAAAGAGGTGAGTTTCATCTTGTTCATAATTAAAAAAAGAGTAAAAACTTTCAAACAATTTTTGAATTGACTGAGAAGAAAAATCATAATTTAACTAAATCATACTAAAAGTATATTCATGTGTGACCAATTTCAAACTCACAAAATACTTAATTAAATGAAGTGATTTTATTCATCCAACATTATCTAAGAAAAACTAAAACAATTTTAAAAAATTTTAATCTTATGAGAATTTTTGGATTACAGTTACTTAACTCATTAGATGAAATTAAGAACCTCTTTCTCTCTCTCATTATATGGTTGGATAATTTAACTCATCACAAACTATTATTATTAGATAATAATAATAATAATTTATTAATCAGTCTTGTATCAAATAATATCATCATTAATATTAATAATTCAAAATATATATTCTAAATAATTAATTGATGTTAATCCGCAATTAATAGAATATTAATAATAATAAAAATATTAATATAATATTTTTTTTTCATATGTTTCTAGTGTCACCCTATAATATACATTTTTATTCAGTTTCTAACAATTCAACTTTTTAAACCTACTTAATGGAAATTAGGCTTTATATGCTTACCACGCAAGTCCACACCTTGGTGATTAATGTAATTAATATGATTTTCTTTTCTTTTCTTTTTTTATCAAAGAGCTAATTTGGTGAGGCATGCTATATATATTCTACCTTAGTTAATGCGCAGATTGGCACCATTCTTTGTGGTGCCCACTGCCCACAAGCCTCGCCGAAGCTGAAGGGCAAACAAGGATTTCAATGCGGAGAAGCTACGCATAGTATTTTGTTTTTGGTGGTTTTTAATGTGTTGAGAAGTTGGAAAAGAAAAATAATGACTATTTAGTGAGAGATAGAAGAAAAAATATATGTATAATATGATACGATAAGAAGAAGATAATAAAAAATAAAGTTAAAAAAAACATGGGTTTATAAATATTCTGTCTCAGCCCACTGTCACACCATTGTTGAACTTGATTGATACTCAAATCTCTTAAAAATTGAAATAAATTTAAACAATAATTATATGAGTTTAATTTCGAGATACTATAAAATTTTTACATTATTAATCAACTAGAACATATTATAGATATAATTTTTATATTAATTATTATAGAAATTAACGGCTTTTGTTAATATGATAAATACACAAAATCGTTAAGTTAACATCATAAAATACAAAATCTTAACAATGTTAGTGTATTTAAGTTATATTTTCACTTTTGTTTTTCTTTTTCATGACACTTCAGATGGTACAGAGAGCTATAATTTTCATGGCATTCATACAAGTACAAATATTTAGTGTGATATGACGTAATACATGAATGCATTAATTTTTAAAAAAATTGAGATGCATTTATGATAATTTTTATTGAGTAAAATTTTGATTATATGGAAAATAAATCAAGTAATTGTATTAATATTTTATTTTAATTTTAAATAAATATTCTTTTCAATTAAATACTGTAAATTTAATTGATTAAATTAGTTATTAATTTGATATCTTTAAGTGTACGTTTGTGTTAAAAGCCAATTCATTTACACAAAAAAAAAATAATTTTAACTGGGTATTAGAATATAATTAGTTGGATTTGAAACAATTACACTTAAACCATAGACGTTATGTTTAAAATAAAAGGTTAAATTAAGATATTATTAGTCCTTTAGATTTAAAGGACTAATTATTGATTTAACCTAAATAAAATTAAAATATCTAATTATATATTATTTTTAGTCTATATCTTATGTATTTTTTTACGAGGTAATCTGTTCAAAACTAGTGTACGGCATGGCTTGACCAGCTTTATTAGTGGGGTATGAGGTTTTTCGATTTTCCATTCATAAGATTTGAATGAGACAAGTGCTTTTAAGGATGATCATAAATGATACTATTTTTTATTTTTTAAAATAAAGAACATCTTTAAAATTTGTTATTTTTCTCTTTCTCATGTATTAAACTTTTATTTTTTAATTATAATTTTTTCATTTTATTTTTTAAATATTTTCTTTTCTAATTTATTCCTATTAAAAGTAATAAAATATATATTATTAATAGTAAAACATATACTCTTTTTAAAGTTATGGCTTTTAAATTTTAAAAATAGTCATAAAATAAAATTTTAATTGTTTATTAATTTTTTTAATTTAATAATATCTATATGTACTAAAAAATTCAGTAGATATAGAGAATTTCGTTCTCATAACTTTTATTTGAAGATTTGAACGAAGAAACTTATATCCATATTTCTATATTAAATTTGAGTGATAATTTTTAAAATAAAGTTTTTTTAAAAGTTATTCCCTTATTTTCATTATTATATGCCTTCTCCTATATTAAACATTGAATTATTTACTATTTTTTTATATTTAAATGATAAATATTTTAATTTAAAAATTTTTATCTTTATTCCATCCTACTAAATATAATAAAATATATATAGTTAATAACAGAATATTTAATATTTTTAATTTATTAAATGTATTAAAATGTTAAAAAGTGCAATGTTGTATATTAGTATGATAACCGTGTTAATGAGATAGTTGAGTTTATTAAGCACCCCATTCTCCGACATAAGTGCTCAAATACATACTCAAAATCAAAAGTTTAAATAAATTATTGATTAAAATATACATTTAATTATATATTAAATAATTATTGCAAATGAATAATTTTTTCGTACAACCAGCATATTATTAAATTATATATATTTTCAAAAATAATTAGAAATGTATTATATATTACTTTGAGATTTAATAAATTTATTAATTTTAGAAAATTAAAATATATAATAATTAATAATAATTTTATATTATATTATTTAAATTTTAAAATAAAATATGAAAATTTTAAAATTTAAATTAATTTTATATTGTAAAATAAGTATGTAATGTAGAATTTTATATTATAAAATAAGTACGTACTGTAGAATGATTAATTTTTTTATTAAAATAAAGAAAATCACTCAGTATAATAAAAAAGGATTAATACTTAAACACACTTTTGTTTAAAATAATTTTAAAAAATATTTTTGTTTAAGAATTAATATTCACAATTTATATATGAAATTTAATTTGTTTTTATCTTTAAAAGAGTATTACTAAGATATTGATTAACATATCAATAAGTAATAAGATTTTATAAAAAAATTTAAAATGAGTTAAAAACTACAAAAGGAGTATTTATTTATATTTTAGTAAAAAATATTTTTAAAATTTTAACCATTTTTCAGCAATTCCCTATTTAGAACACTTGGGTTTAGCTTTTGTCCCGTCCTATATTATGTTTTTATTCTTACTATTTTAACATCAATAAAAGATTACTTACTTACACGACTAAATTAATAAACAGACAACTTTTTTTAACAATATTAAACGAAAAAATTAAAATGCAAGAAAATATTCACATAAAAATGAAATAAAAAATTTTAAATAGAAAAAATTATTTATAAATAATATTGACGGCAGAAATCAAATGCATATTTCAATAAAAACAATCTTTTATCAAAATCTTCAAAGGGGAAGAAGATAGACATCAAAGCTGAGAGTAACACACGCCAAACGCTGTGGTAACAATTTATTCTCTGGAATTGAATTAACAGCCAGCGAGTAGCAACCGAACACTCTCTTCTCTCTCTGCGTTGTCGATGCCCACTGCATGGCTCTGCCGTCGGAACCCCACCGCCGCCGCAACAACCACATCTCCGCCTTCCTTCAATCCACCGCCTCCAACTTCGCCTCTTTCTTCAACCCTACACCTTCAACACTTCCACACCCACGCTCTTCAATCTCTCTCCCTCTCTTCTTCGCGCCGCCGCTAACCCTCGACTCCGCCGCCGAGTCGACTCGCCCCGCCGCCAAATCGGTTCGAGTCGCGCGTCTCAGTTCCGATGGGAAGGGTGGTGGGCCCGCCTTCGTGGGCCAGGTCTTCAGCATGTGTGACCTCTCCGGAACCGGCCTCATGGCCGTTTCCACTCACTTCGACATTCCTTTCATCTCCAAAAGGTTTCTCACAAAAATAAATATTTTTCTATTATTATTATTATTTTTTTCCATCGTGTAGGCGTCAATTGTTCCTAATGTCTTAGTTATTAGGTCAATCTGTGCCACATTGCACCTAATAACTAAGTAAGTTTTTACTCAAAATTGTAAACATTAATAGTATCAACCTATTGAATTGCGTTAAAATCTGTAAATTAAATAAAAGGTTACTATATATAGGTTATTGTTATGAGAATTATTGCATAGGTTAGAAAGACGATTCTTTCTGTACTTTTAAAATTTGAATCCGGTGATGGCCTCTTACTAAAGCATGAGTTTTTAGGATTCTCATATTTGGTATAATAAATGCAACTTCGTGTACCAAACACGGGACATCTTACTTAGGGATTGAAGAACTTGGGTGTTGCTGATTATAGTTGGGAACATTGAAACGAATTTAGAACTACGACCTACGATAAAGATTCTTGATTGAAGTTGTAACACTTATAGTTATAGATTAAGATGTTACCACTTCTCGTTATTCTGAAAATGTAGATTTTGACCTGTTATCTGTCATCTGCAGAACACCTGAGTGGCTGAAAAAAATATTTTCCGCGATCACCAAGAGTGAGAGGAATGGCCCCGTGTTTCGCTTTTTTATTGATCTAGGAGATGCAGGTTAGCTCTATGCATATTTTGCTCCTTTGTAGTCCATACATATGCATGTTTGGGGTTTAACAATCCATTATTGTCTTTTCATATGCTTCAAGGTTATTTTGATTCATATTTCATGTATAGTTTTTCTTTAAAACTTGAGGAAATATGTGGCTGTCATGATATCTAAACTAAATATTGTTGTATCCTTCAACTTGTATCGAGGCTAAATTTCTTAGACTTAGAAGTAGAGAAATGGACTTTTGCTAAGCTTCATTTGTTAAACTACAAGATTTTGGTGAGATGACTGTTTTGCTTAGTGATCACACTTTTCTGACTTGTTTTTTTTTTTGTGTGGGGGGGGGGGGAAGATCTCAATCATTAGATTTTTAAATGAAAAAGGAAATTCCACTACTAAAGGTTGGAGAGAATAAGATATGCACCAAAATTGAGAAAAATGGATACAACTAGAAGCTAGAAAAATGAAAAACTCAAGAATGCAACAAGGCTGTCCAATCTCTGCATATCCAAAATGACAACTAAATTACAGCTGCCATGTTCTGCCCACCAAATAAAAGCCAGAAAATAATCTCTATCTCCCTTAAGTGTACTAGCAGTCTAGCAAAGGGACACCTTCAGAGAAGTGAGCATTCAGGTTCAACCATGTGCATCAGAGGGTCATATACTGCGTACTGCCATAATATTATCTTCCTTATTTTACCAAACTTTTATTAAAAACTTCAAAAACTGTTCCTTAATGTCAAAGATCGCATGCCCCAAGAATCTCAGAAAGATTGTGCAATGTGCATTACATATTTCGACGTTTACTAAGACATTCCCTTGAACACTGTCTACACACTTTGTACTTTTATCCAAATTCCAAATTATGTGTTTGTTCCCTGCTTGTCCATGAATTTATTCTATTATCATCATTCATTTGGATAATGTTGATATCTAATCAATGATTATTTCTTCTTTACCAATTACTGACCTTTTTAATGGTCTTAGTTTCGTATGTCAAAAAGCTGAATATTCCAAGTGGCGTGGTGGGTGCCTGTCGTCTTGACCTAGCATATGAACATTTCAAGGTACTACTGCCATTTTCAATTGTCATTTTAAATATATTTGTACTGATTTAAGTAAGCGTGTTGAAGGTTCTATATACATTGACAATGATTTGGTTTTTTAGACGTAGTTCATGCAGATAGATGTCCCCTATTATGGAATTTAATATGTTAACTTATAACATTGTGCATTACACACCATACAGGAAAAACCGCACTTGTTCCAGTTTGTTCCAAATGAAAAGCAGGTATTATTTGTTTTCATTTTTGCATCTTTTAGTTTTGTTTGACTTTAATCTGTATTTATAATAAATGCATCCTCACCAGGTCAAGGCAGCTAATAAGCTTCTGAAGACAATATCACAGCATGGTGTAAGAAAAAAGGTTGATGGGGTCCCTGTGTTTAGTGCACAGAACTTAGATATTGCAATAGCCACTACAAATGGGATTAAATGGTGAATGTTCCTCATCTCTCGTTTTATGTGAATTAGTGTAATTTTCATGGAACATTTTTATATTTTGTTGATTTGAAATATAATATCAATTAGAAAATTATTTTGGAATGGATCAATACCTCTCTATTTTCCTTGTAGTAATTCAGCAGGAATATCTCTTGTTTCTTTTGCAATTGTATGGCCTTTAGTTTAATGTTTTTTGTGAATTCTGTAAGTATTGATTGCTTTATACTAGATTCATTGTGTTCAGGATGACTTTTTTTTCTGGTATTTAAGTGTCTAATATAATTTCTTTTGGAATTTTTTGGTCAGTTTTTCATCCTTAGTAGTACTACAAATATTGATTTGTGATATGCTGTTTTTTGTGTTAGGTTTTGTGCTTACTTTTGATTATTTAACCCCCCCCCCCCCCCTTATGTTACATTAGCCAACTCTTTAAAACAAAATATGTTTTCTACATAAGCATGGAACAGAATATGTTATGCTTACTTTATTACTCTTTGTTCCTTCAGGTATACTCCCTACTTCTTTGATAAAAGCATGCTTGATAATATTCTCGAAGAAGCTGTTGATCAACATTTCCATACTTTAATCCAAACTCGACACATGCAGCGGCGGCGGGATGTGGTTGATGACAACTTGGCAGCAGAAGTGATTGAGGAGATGGGAGATAGTTTAGGGGAGCCTCCAGAGGTATGAATATGACTAATTTCATGAAAAAAAATATTGTTTAATAAAGTACTTGATAAAGAAAGTTTTATTTTTTCAGTGGTAATGCAAAAGAATCTTATGTTGCATACAGTTTTCAATATGAAACTTTTATGATTAATTTAGAATTTGTTTGAATCTCCAATACGTGATAATGATTTGTGATATGAAAGGCACCCAATGTGATCTTTGTTTGTATATTTGGTAAAAGCGTGGCCTGAGATACCTCATATAACTTGTTCCTGAAAACAAAATGTTGTGTAGTATGTTTCATTTCATTGTATTTGTTAAAAGGGGTTAACTCAAGGTATACATGGCATTGATATCTCTTCCTGTTTCTTGTAGAAAATTGTATTATTTATTGTTGATTTTCCTTGCAGGTTCAGGATTTGCTAGATGAAATGGGACATCCTAGTATACCGCTAAGTGTTATTTCAAAAGCTGCAGAACTCCAATTTCATTATACTGTTGACAAAGTACTCCTGGGTAATAGATGGTTGCGGAAAGCAACCGGCATACAACCAAAATTTCCATATATGGTTGACTCATTTGAGAGAAGGTACATTTTATGTTGTTTGAACCTTTGAAACTGAAATGTTTAACTAGTGGCATTTTCACTCGTTCAGTTCTTAGTCCAGTGGTTTCCTAGTCCAGTTTATCATGCATTGAGATAAAAATGTTGACATTTTTTGCCCAAGAATAAAAATAGTTATACTAATGTAGATTAATTACTTGGATTGGATAGTGTCTTGGTTCACTGTACATAGAGTTTAGTTTCTTCACGGCTCATTGTATAAATTTTAAATCAGGAAATTAGGATTTAGGACCACCTGTGTATATATTATTATATTAATAACTACTCTGTTGTCTGTCCCGTGTATCATAGTAGTTAATTTCAGATAACGACGTGGAGTGTCCGACTCTAAAAATGCTATAGCGGGATAGCAGGATGATCGCTATTTTAGGCATTATAAATATACCCATATAAATTAAGTTGCACACATGACACATATATAAGCTGAAAAATATAAATTTAAGACCCAACTTAAAAAATATGCAATATTAATGACAGAAAGAAGATGATCAGAAAATGTCCCTTTCTTGTTAAAAGCCACGTCGGAGATGAAGGCCACACTCCAGCAGTGGAAACAGAGAAAACATAGATGAAATGAAAGGAGAAATGAGAGGAGAGCTGAGGAGAGTGATGAGAGGTGAGTTGAGGGGCTAGGGTTTGTGAGAGGGAGGGAGAAGATTCAGAAAATAGGGGGCGAAATCCCAAAGATTGCTCTCCCTTAAAAGCCCCCAACATTAAAAAACAGAGGGCAAATTCAGAATTTTCAAGGACAGTATAGCAGCCATTACAACCGCAATTTCTGGCCGCTATTTGCGGTGTGACAGCCATGACATTAAACCGCGACGCTACAAGGTCGCTATTGCAGGACTGTGCCGCTATGCCGCGATAGCGGCCGCTATGGCGTGTATTTGCACTTGCTTCTCTGTTTTTCTCCTACTCTTAACAACTTGAATTCACTTTATCATTGCGCCTTTGAAAATGTGTAATTTGATTCAGATTTTGTTAAACTTATTTCTTTGGATTAAGCACTTAAGCTTGAATTCACTTTATCATTCACTTGTAATTTACTGCAGTTTGCTTACTGAAGTGTGTTGGGGTGTTTGTGAATGAAAGTGATTGTATTTTTTTACCCATTAGTGTCCTAGACAAAGGTTTGGAAGCTTCTGTCTGGTAAAAGGGACAATTTCCTAGGATGTTTAATTGTAAAATTCCATATTATATTGGAAAGTGAAATCATAGTTCAGGTTCTTTGCTCATCAAAATCAAACATTTTGTCAAGATCAACGTGAACAAAAGTTCTTTGGATCACAAGAAAGATTACAGGCTTTTTCTTTTCAAGGCCACAGATGGATAAATTGCCATTCTGATGTATGGTTTATTTATGATGGAATGGGCCATATGTGTAAGTGATAGGATCAAATGACATCAAGTTTCAAACTTAGTAAACTGCCACATTTAATAACTTTTGATCAAGTCTAGAAAATTTCTTACAATGCAAAAGCTGTTTGATATTTTAATGTATGTTGTTTAAAAAATAAGTAAATAGTTACTATAATGCAATACTATGAACATTAAATTGTGAAAAAATTTGTGTGCATAATCTTTATGATAATATTGTAAGAACAATGATTGAGTTGATAAAATTCATTTTTTATGAGACATTGTTGAATGTGTCATTTTACTAAGTTTGATATATAGTGTTATTTAATTATGTCCTACATATATCACTTGATTCCATTCATGTCCCCCAATTTTGGGGAAGAAGAGAGGTTTCGGATGGAATGCTTTCCATCATATTCTATTAAAGTTTATGATATTATAAACAATCCAAACAGTGTACCTAGTGTCATACTGTTATTCCATTCTTTTCCATCAGTCCAAACATAGCTTAAGGAAGTGCTGGTGCTTGAAATATCTGAATAGGGGTGACACAACTGCACATGTTTAGACAGTGTTCTAATCAGCTAGCATCTCCATTCTCTTGCCCACAAATTCTAAGTTTGTTAAGGTTGAGAATATCTTTTAATTATTAGGATTTAGTTGTTGTCATTATCTTTATAATTATTTATCATTATCTCTATGATTATTAGAAGATAATATTGGATATTATCTTATCTAAATGTTAGGATTATATATATATGGGACAGGATTTTTTTACACCGGTGTAAGTTTAAAAACTCTTACATTCAATTTGTCTTTTATTTAACTTAAATTTAATGGGTTATAATTTATTACTTCACTGCCGTTAGATTTAAGTTAGATGAAAGACTCAGATTGGGTGTAAGAGTTTTTAGACTTATACTGATGTAAGAAAATTCTTTCCCTATATATATATATATATATATATATAGTACGATTCAGAATTTTAAGATGGTGTTAGGGGGTCTCTACTTCTACACATCAAACCCTAGCCATCTTTATTGCAGCACCCAAACTCCAACAGCTGTCTTCATTATAGCATACATCTGCACCTTCATTGTGCAATAAGTGCTCAAACCCTAGCAGCTGTCTTCATTACAACATACATATGCAGTTTCTTTGCGCATTAAATGTTCAAACCCCAGCCGCCTTTATCGCAGCATCCAAAACCCTAGCAGTTGTCTTCATTACAACATTCATCTGCACCTTTATTGTGCATTAGTCCAAGGCAATTGTGGAAGAAAGAGGTCAATTCCTGTAATCAGTCTTCTTCTCAAGAAAACTAGCAGATTTGTTTTCTAAAGGATTGGCAACTGAGTTGTCCTAAGATATTTCATGCAATCTGGAAAGGATAGATATCCGTTCACCCGATTGAGGGGAAGGGTTGAGAATATCTTGTAATTATTAGGATTTAGTTATTGTCATTATCTTTATAATTATTAGAATATAATCTAAGATATTATCTTAAAATAAGGATTAGACTCCTATATTTACATGTAAATTATAATGTAATTTACAATACCATTCAGAATTTCAAGAGTTAACATTCTCATTGTTTGTGATAACTCCAATCTAAATTTGGTGAACCATTTGAGCTGCCTTGCTAGTATAAATGATGTAAACAAAGCTCAAGCAACTGCCATTGCTTAATATTTCATTGCTGCACATTTAAAATTGCATATCATGGTTGTGTATAGTCTAATAGAAATACAATTATTCGTAACATTGTGTTCCTTATTCTGCAGAAGTGAAGCTTCTTTTCTGAAAGCTACGGAGTCAAGCACCTGCCTCGATAACCTTAAAGTGGAAGATGATGGGAAACATTCGGAATACATAGACTCTTCTTCTAATTACAGTTTGGATGATAACACCGAAGCAATCAAACAACCTAGTCCCAAACTAAGGCTACCATTTGGTGATTGGTTTCATCCCCTAGGGCCAAAACAGTGTCATGAAAAAATAGGCATATCAAGAGGTGGAAATAAAGATGATTTAAAACCAAGTCCCTTCCTTCCGAAAATTACAATGGTTGGTCTCTCTACAGAGGAAGCAGGTCAGATGAGCAAAGCTAGTTTGAAAAAGACAATGGAGGATTTGACAAGAGAGTTGGAGAAGACAGAGCTAGATAATATGACAGATAGTGGTAGTAAAGAGTGCAAAGTAGAAGATAGGGACCCACTATTTGTAGCAAATGTGGGTGATTACTATTCTAATGTGGGAAGAACAGGATCTGGTCGCTGGATCAGAGGAGGATCCAACTAAAAGTAAAAGCCTTTTTGTCAGGGAGAATTTTCCGTTTGCAGGTTCTTGTGGATATTTATTGGTCTCGAAATAAGATTGAGAAGATAGGGTTATTGACTAAGAGTGTTGGAGCTGGAAATAACCTCGTTTGCGGTGTATATTGAAAGTGGATGGATCAAGCTTTGATCAGTGTTGTAAATGACTGTTGTGTAATTCGTCACTGATGCCCATTTTGTTGACATTTGGGAAGTAAAATAAAACTTGGGTTATAGATTAAAAAGTAAAATAACGGTGAATATTTTATTATATCAAATGAAAAAAATTAAAAAGTATAAATTTTAAATTTGAGAATAAAATTATAAAAAATAAAATATTTAAAATAAAATATATCATCGTTTTTATATGATGTCAAATTTATATTTTATTAATTAATTGAAGCTAAATAAGATTACAATAATATTAAAATTTAGTTTATTTAAAATAATATTTTTAATTTGATATGTTGGATTAAATTTTAAAATTTAAATAAAACAAACTTAAAATTAAATTTTATATGTTTTTTAATTTAATTGCATATTGGTTTCTATAGTTTGGTTTATGCAATTTTGGTTTCTTAAATTGTTTTGAATTATTTAAATTATTTAAATTTTAGAATTATATATATTTGATGCCTTACTAATTATCTTGTATCTAATACTCTTAAATCCTAAAATTTTTACATCGGTTATGTACCCAATTGATGTAGAATTTATATATATTTTAAAAAAATGTTCATTTTATGTTATTTTCTAAAACTTTAAATATAGATATATTTCTATATAGTTTTATAATATGCACATTATAATTATAACAAATTTTTTTATTCAAATAAATAATTATAACAAAATAAATTAGTTATAATATTTATAAAGGCTTTAAAGAATTACTAATATCTAAGATAAAAGAGATTTAACACCTTGAAATGCTATTAATCTTCAATTCTCACCATCTTTGAATATTTACAAGTTCAAATAACAAAAAAAAACATTAGGAACTATAAAGATATAAGTAAAATATGTTTATAAAAATACATACTTACCAAAATCTAAGAATATGTAATGGTAGTTGTGATGACAGTGAACATATGTCTCATCACATATTATTCATGCTCTCAACTTTCCTTTTGTTTGTGCGCCTAGAAGAAAAATAAAGAGTATTTAATATGAGAGAAAAATAACTAATAGTCAAAAGTTAAAAGAAAAATAGTAAATATTTATACTAAAAAGAACAATTAAACATACACGTGGGCAAATCTATATAAACTTTTTTTTAGAAACATGTTTACCTTCAAACACATTACATGCTTCCATACATCTATTCAAGATCAAATTACTATAAAAGAGTGAATTAGGTGACCATTTCTCTATATGTAACATGTTAAAAAAGTTTATAACAAGTATTTCATAATTACTTACACATCAATTATGACTTTTATTTCTTTCCTTGACTTATTCCATAAGGAGTAGACGAAGACAACATTGTTACATTTGGGACAAAGTATAAACAATTGCATTTCTCCTACAAACCAAAATGGCCATTGGAAAAAGTAGAAATAATTATATGAAAAGGACAATTAGCAATTTTACTTATCCATAATGGAATGATGCAAGGTAGCAATTTTGGTTCCTTCGCACAACCTCTTTTGTTCCCTAAGCTTTGAATTTGAAGAGAGTTAAGGAATCTATACAAAGCATCTATACCCTTAAAACAATAATGTTGATGTAGATAACTATAAAATGGTCATATAAAATCAAGTATTAGTGATTCAAAATAACATTTGAAAATTATATGAATAAAAAATAATGAACTTACATTAACCATGCTTAAATAATTGAAATGCAAAGCATCATCTCAATCATCGTAACCTCTATAAGGTCCTTTTGTGTCAAATATAATGGGGTTGAAGATACATTTCCAGTTATTTTATCTTCATATTGTAACTACAAAGGTTCTTTTCCTATTGCCATTACACATAAGCGTTCAAAGACGTCAGGGCTGGCCTTTTTAAATTTTTAGGACTATTATCCTTTACAATTTCACAAATATCCTATACAATTAGATGTATATTCATTAGATATTAAATTTCAAATAATAGAGATATAAAGAAATAAATGAAAGTAAGTATACCTTATAAGTAGGAAACTAAATAAGTTGTTTAGGACAAAATATAAAATAATTAAGGGCTTTCACCACTGTCTTGACCTCTTCAATTGGCATAAGGACAAGAGCATCAACATCCTCATTTAATCACTACTTTTAGCAAACCATTATCTATTATTTGATTGTATATGGTTGGACCCAAGTTGTGCACTATGTCATGTGCCACTAGCCTCAAAGGACCTTTCATAAACAATTTACATTGATCGTCGGCATCGTCCTTATTAAGATCCATTGGGGCACAACTACCTTTGGTGCTGACACACTCTTCAAGTCTAGAGGCTTCAGGAACAAAAGTTAGGGGATTTTTGTTACCTTGAGAGACTCAATGAAGTAAGTTTTTGCTAATTCCAACTCTCAGCTATTGTCTGATCTCTTCAAGAACAACTTTTTTTTTTTTTTTGTGGTGGTTGACCCAAAGTATTGTCAAATGCCCACATCCCATCCAGCAATAGAAACAATATGTCCTGATGTCCAACAAGTGTAAAAGTTTCCTGTAAACTTTGCTCTAATAATGAATCCTACAAAAACAATTAGAAACATAAGTGGTAATGTCACACAAATAAAGGTGAATTAATAAACAGTTAACAAGTAAAGTATTAAATACTCACAAATTTATCGTGATTTATAGGTGGTGATGGAAGAGAAACAATACCAAAATGATCAAATTAAGAGGCTTTGAAGGTTTTGGCCTTCTCTTCAAGAATTCTCTTCTCAAGTAACTCATAGTCCCTATGAGACAATCTGTGGGATAGCAATTTTTAGCTTGAATTGTCTTTACCTTTTTCTTTTCTTCCATTTAAGTAGATTGATAAAGTGAAATAAGTATTTTGACTTTATTGCGGAGTAACTATAAATTAAATAATATTAAAATTCCAACTAACCTAAAAAGTTAGATCAAGTTAGGACTCCATAAACTTCTCTCATGTATCTTCAACAATGAATTGATAATCTTTACATGAAGACATATCTTTATGGCTTCTAAAAACATACTTGGAAGTCATGTATGTCTTAAAAGCCCTCCAACATTCCCCCGCAAAGGATAGCCACTTTCTTTTAAGATAGTGTTATAAACTTTATTAGTCAGCTACAATTGACAATACGAAGTGAGCGAACTTTATTAAAAGCAAAAAATTATAAAACAAAAAGTATATTTGAATAAAAAATTTATATACCATGATGCTTTGCCAGATTTGATCCTTCACACGTATCCCGTATCTCAATCCTTGGTTATAATACTAACCTTGCTGTGTTCAAGAAGTGTAACATAACTCTTGAACTTTGTTCAATTTGGTCCTAAAGGATTCCTGGTTGAGTTGTTAAACTCAATGAGGATCCTTTACTCAACCATACAACTAAGAGTTAAATCTCTTAGGTTTTGTTTAGGAGTTTGGAGGAGAAGGGAGGGGGAGGATTTGAAAAGAGAAGGAGGTTAAACTCCTTAGATGTTTAATATTGAGAGAGGAAGATAATGAGAGTTTAATTATATAAATAATATTATTGTATTTTATATCTTTTATTTATATTTTTTTATTTCCTCAAAAAATAAAAAATAAATATTTTTCTTTCTTTAAAAATTAATAATTTTAAATTATTTTTAAATTTTTATTTTTATTTTTTTAAAATTTTTTAAAAATATTCTCACTTAAAAAACTAAAATTTAAATAAAAAAGTTAGAATTTTAATTATGAAAGATACGAGAGAGTGGGAGAGAGAAAACATTTGAAATAGAGAAACTAAAAAAACTAGCGTTAAGAGGGTTTTGGAGGGTTTAGACAAACTCTCAAACCCTTCCCATCCTAATTAAGTAACTTCAAAATAAGGTTTAATCTCTCCCCTCCTAAACCAAACTCTCAAACATAGCCTTACTCGTATAGTACGTCTACTCTTTCTCTATGAAACTCAATAAGACATATCTTTATATATAAGAAAAAATATTAAAAAACAATTTATATATAATAAAAACATTAATGCATTCTTTCTTAGCAATATAAAACAATATAAACAACTAACTTATAAGCAAGTCTTTTAGTTATTTTTCCATATCCCTTCTTCATGATCATGTCGTGTGACATATACATCATCAACTTCATTTTCATCAGTTGAAGTAGGCATGTTTGATGAGAAAGATAAATTTTCAAATAAGTGAAGAGCTAAATCTTGAAGGTCATCATTACTAAACATTGGTTTCCCTTGAAACACTACTGACCAACTTGTCAGATTGGTGTAATTATATGTTACTATTCTTTTTGAATTGTGTTGCGTATACCTAAGTATAAAAATTTTCATATGTTGGAATGTATATATATAAAGATTGTATGTTTGTTGAATTAGAAGCAGTGTGATTATTGTGTTATGTGATGATGCTGTTGAATGCAAAGTGCAGTGTGAGCTGAAGAATAATTATTAAGTGTCTTGTATGTAAAACAATTTAGAAAATATGGTTAAGAGTTGATATTATTTCTCTCGGGAGAGAAATTTAGAATCTAGGTGGGTGTAGGGTATCTCGCTCAAGCGAGAGCAGATAGGATTGTCTCAGTTGTAACCTCGCCCAGACGAGAAGAAATCTCACTCAAGCGATAGGTGTTCGCTCAAGTGAGGTGTCGCAGGAGTAATAAGTAGCTCTCTGGACGCAATCTCTCCCAAGCGAGAATGCTGTTCGTCTGGGCGAGATATAGCTCGCTTAAGCGACGTGTTACTCGCTCAAGCGGGAATATCAGAAATTTGAGAGGTTTCACTGTCTTGTTTTCTCGCCCAAGCGAGAGTTGACTCACCCAGAAGTGAGAGCGCGTAGGCTGGAGAGCTATTTAAAGGGACTCAGCGTCCAGAAACTTCATTTTTTCACCAAACAACTTTTCTCTCATTTTCTCTCCTATTATCTTAGAGAAAACTTTCCTAAAATTGAATTTCTCTCTAATCAAAGCGAGATCTTCTATCTCATTGAGATCTAGATTTGAGTCATTTAAACCGTATTCCATACCTAAACACTTGATCTATCCCTTCGAGATTTACTAGGAGTTGATTTGAAGAAAACTCATTCTAGGTAAGGAGAGCTTACTCTAGTTGGCTTGATTTAATCAACTAA